CAAAAAAATATTTTTTGGGGGGGGAAGCAGTATAGCTGAATTTGACAGTAAATGTCAAAATTTATGTGTGACCTCGAGGCCACATGTAAATCCCTAAGGGGATTTCTTCAGTGAAGTTTGGATTCAGTCAAAGGGCCTCACTTCAGAACCCTAGAGGGCCACATGTGGCCTCAAGGCCTCAGGTTCACCACCCCTGTAATGTTTCTTCCTTCTTTATCTGAAACTGGTTGTTTCAGTCAGTCTGAGTTTGGTAGTATTTGAGTGTCTTTTGTGTATGCGTTACTGAGTCTACTTTCTTTGCTTTGTGTCAGTTTATAAAAGTCTTCCTATGATTCTCTAAAGTCCTCATTTGTTGCCTCCGTGGTGCAGCTGACTCTAACATGCTATTCCTTTATGGATATTGTAACCTTAAAATACACATTGAAGTATTTTGAAAAAAGGTTTTCATCAACTACATGCTTTGATAGATACATCTGTGCCTTCATTTTTGCAGGTATCTCCTCCAGAAATGAAGATTAATGGCTCTTCCTTAACCTTTTCTTCAGTGATTCTCATCCATATTTTCCCATTAACCTTCTACAGAGTCAGTCAGTCAAAAAGCACTCATTAAGCATTTACTGTGTTCCAGGCACTGTGCTAAGGACTGAAGGATAAAAAAGAAAAGCAAAAATATGGTCTCTGCCCTCAAGGAGCTCACATTCTCCTGGGGGGAGACAATTTGCAAATAACTACGTACTTAGAAGATGTGTGCAGCATCTCAGAGGAAAGGCACTAGGGGTGGCATGGTGAATGACCTGGGAAAGGTAGGAGAGTATTCCAGGCATGGATTACAGCCCATGAAAAGGCACAGGGTCAGGAATTGGAGTGTCATGTTGGAGAAGAAGCTATTAGCCTGGCGTAGCTAGATTACAGAGTGCATTAAATAGGAGTAGAGGTAGAAAGGAGCCCATGGTGGTTGTGGAGGGCTTTAAAATGGCAAACAGAGCGTCTCATATTGGCTTTGCTTTAATCTGTCACATCGATATTCATCACATAGCAAAAAACTTAAAATTTCTATTTCTTACATTTAAAATAAATGATTCTTAAATTATACCATCTTTTGCTTTCATAATACCTGGTTTCAGTACTTAAATGATCTCGCAATAAAATCTGATGAATTTCAGTTTTGGTAAATTAATACTGATAGGAAGTTTGTTTGAACTTTAAGAAAGCAGTTTTTAAAAATCTGGTTTTAGCAATCTACTATTTTACTAGCCCCAATGTTGAGTTACTAAAAATGGATTAAAACTGTGTGGCTTTTCTTCTGAGCAGAAACAGATTTTGTTTCTGATGTTACAGAAGTTACAGAATCATGTTAAAAATGATTATCCTCTAGAACAGTTCACTTTAATTTATTTTCACTAGGGATGAGATATTTATGTGAAAAGAGTTTTCTGTGATATACTAAGTCATAATCTCCTTCCCCATTCCAACCACTTTATCAAAGTGTTTATGAGAGTTTAGAACAAGAGACCACCCTTTTGACTTGGGGGACAAATAAAGGTTTAACATAAGAAGTAGCATTTAAACTATGGCCTTGAACCATGAGGGAGGATGCTAAAAATTGACGAAGTAGGGTATTCAATATGAAGAGAATAGTGTAAACACAAGTATGAGGGTGGAATAGTGGGGAGTGTGTTCTGGGAATGCATGTGAGCCAGTATAAGGCTGGATCATAAAGGATATCAGAGCTATTGCTCTAAGACTAGGGAGACTATTGGGAACAAAATGGCAAGATGGAAGGATCGGGAATGAAGAAGACTTGGGTATAAGGCTCAAGTATGAAGGACCTTATTGGGTAGGCATTAAAGAAACAATGGCATGGCCTGATCAGACTATCAGTTTATGTAGATTATTCTGGCAACCATTTTTGTTTGAGATTTGAGATGGAAGAGATTCGAGACACAGGGATAAAGAGAGGACAGGTGCAAGAGATAATTGTGGAGAGAGAATGGTCAGGACTTTGTGAGGGCTGTTGAAGAGGGTGTAGTCAAAAATGACTGAGATTACAAGCCTGGGTTAACAAAGAGAATTGTGGAGCTGCCAGCAGATACAGGGAGTAAGTAATAAGAGTAATCCTCTGAAAAGAGGATGAGTTGGGGCAGGTTTTAAATACATGGAGTTAGAGGTGCTGACAGGACATCCAGCAGGTTGTTGGAAATATGACTCTGAAACTCAGGAGAAGGGGCTGGGGCTGAAGTTAAAGATTTAAGACTCATCTACATTCAAGACCAAGTCATAAGCCAAGTTATAGTTTTACAAATCTTTTTCAATACATGAATTATTAAGTCAGTACTTAAGACCTTACATTTCAATAACTTGGGGGAAAAAATTCATCTCGGTGCCAGTCATTCAGTCAGACTAAATGGATCGTTGGACCTGTTTGTGAGTTCAAGTCTGCCCGCACTAGTTGGGTTACTAGTCAGCCCACAGAAGCCATAAATTATGGGATTTAGGATTTAGACCTGGGTAAGGACCTCTGAGATCATGTAGTCTTAAGCTCTACTGCCTCTCAGGTGAAGAATTGTAGAGTAACCTGAAGTGACCTTAGTCATCATCACAAGTAAAGAGAAATAGCAGTTTGGTAGCACAGTGGCCAGAATGCTGGGCCCAGGGCTTCCTAACATCGAGGTTGGCTTTTTTTCTAACCAACCGTGCTCCCTTCTCACTTTGTGGAATACCCAGGACAAATTTGTAGTTTGGGATGAGTTTTCACTTGCCATTGAGCAACCTTCTGGGCAACCCTTAGTGTGTGTGTAGAACATGCAAACCAATGTTAATATTTGCTTTAAAAGATGTGTAATGGAATAAGTCATTCTGCTGCCTCAAATCAGAGTACCTTCTAGAGCCAGTATTCAGTGTACTCATAAATTATTGAGACTGATGTCTTGACAGACATAAAATTCATCAAGAAATATTTGTTGAATACCTACTATTAGATTAGACACTGTGCTAGGCATTGTGGGGAGGGGAGAGATACATAGCTTACCATCTAGAGAAATAGAAATATAATACAAACTAGAATATGGAGATGAGAAAGGAACATGCATTTATTAAGTGCCTAGGCAGTATGCTAAACACTTTCCAGTGATTATCTCATGTGATCCTTGCAACACCTTTGGGAGGTAAATCGTATTATCCCCATTTTACAGTTGGAATCTGAGGCAGGAAGAATTTAAGAGACTTGCCTAGGGTCATATAGCTGGTAACTGTCTTGAGCTGGATGGAAGTACTTATGTGGGAATTACATTAGAGCTAATTTTTGTTGCATGTGAGGGACTATATTGTCTCTGATACCCCTTCCAACTCTTAAGATTTTGCAATTTCAGAGGTGGCAGAGATGACTTATTTCTGGGTTGCTGGGGTCAGGGCTCAGGGAGGCTTAATGGAGGAGGTAAGAGGTCTTGAAACATGGGTAGGCATATGATCAGTAGAGGGAAGAAAAGAAGGGAAAGCAGCCCATTAAAGGACAAGATTTGGGGCAGAAGTGTTTGGAAGTTCTTGAACGATTCAGAATGTGTACTATGACTCCGCATTGCCTATCCCAATAAATATTGCCCTTCAGAGTAGTCAACTGTGGAGATAATCACTTTACTTTAATTGGTGCCATCACTCCTTCAGAGTTTCTTGGCATTCCTGATTGAGACTTGCTCTCAGAGCCAGTTTGTGCCAGCCTGGAAAATCACTTATTACATTGTAGCCACATCTTAGGTTTCTTGTCTGTTTATGTCTTTTGTTTGTACATCACACCCATTTTGAAATATACCACTATGGCCTTTCCTCTTGGCAAGCCTACTCCTAGAATAAAAATTTAAGAAGGGAAAAAAACCCAAGAAGGAGCTTATCCCCTCACCTACCCCATCTGTATTTTTATTTATTTATTCAATATTCCACACCCATAGACTTCTTCCTCAGCATTTTTTTGTCTTCTCAGAGGCCCAAGCTAGGTCATTATTATCATACAGCATTTAGTTTATTTTATTATTCTTTCCATTTACATTTTTTGTAGTCATTGTGCATACTGTTTTCTTAGTGTACTTTGACCCATCAATTTATGTCTTTCCATGTTTCTCTGAATTCTTATATTTGTCATTTCTTACAGCAAAATAATGTTCCATTCCATTCATGTCCCATAGTTAGTATAGCCATTCCACAATTTAACACTTTTCTTTTTGAGCTAAATCAACCCCTGCTTCCAGCCTCTACCTTATTCATCACTAAACCATATGTAAAGTCCTTGTGGGCTGCATATTGATTTAGTTTTTAAAAATCTAATGTTATCCGTATTTTATTGTATTTTTATTAATTTTGTCAGATCTTTCCCAATTACGTTTTAATCTGGTTCAGGGTACTCAGGAGTGTTGTGAGCTGCATGTGATCAGCACATGTTTGACACTTCTGGCCTAGAGCACTGGGAGGTTGACTTGTGCAGGAGCATAGAACCTTTATGTCAGAGATAGGACTGGAATCCACATCTGCCTGGCTTCAAGGCATACTCTCTGTCAGCTACAGCATACTACCTCCTTTATAAGTATATGTAAAATAAATACAAGGCAGCTTTGGTAGGGAAGATAGGACACAGGTGATAATATTGCTCATTTCTTTCAAGGAGTGTTTAAGAATATTTATTAAACACACTGCTGCCATTAATGAGAGCCATCATTACATCTATGCAGTGAGAGAGAAAGATAAATAAGCTGTAGACCCTGCCCTGGAGCATGTAATAATAATAATAACTAATAATAATAATAGCTAGCATGTATGTAGAGCTTTAAGATTTACAGCACATACTTCACAAATAGCATCTCATTTTATCTTCACATCAACCCTAGGAGATAGGTATTATTTTCTCTGTTTTACAGATGAGGAAACTAAGTCTGATTTCCCACTGCTAATAACTGTCTGAGGTCAGATTTGATCTTGGTAAGATCACCTTAAACTTGTTTCTTGTTTGTTTTCAGATGACGACGTGGACTTGGAAGCTTTGGTAAATGACATGAACTCCTCATTTGAAAGTTTGTATTCTACATGTAGCATGCAGTCAGAAACTGCCCCCCTCCTTCAAAATGGTCAACATAACCGTAGCCAGTTGCCAACCTCAGGAACAAGTGCCCTCCAGCAGCAAGCGTCCCCAAAACAGAAAGTTCAGCGCTCTCAACCCATGCACATTCTAGCAGTCAGGTAGGAAAAGAAAGCTTCTTGGACAACTGTTGTGTTTACTAAATGAAAGGATTGTGAGTAACCTGTGCCGTGCATGTTAAATTATGCTAAAGCTACTTTTTTTCATTTTATCCTCTTTGCTTTGTGTGGAAATGATGGCCAGGATGACTTGCAAATGATAGAAACCTCTATTTCCAATTAGTTACTTTAATTTAACTATGCAAATATATTGTAAATGGGAAGCTGTGCTTTATCATGCATAGGCAAAATCCAGGTAGTTAAAATTTGTTGGTTTGTTTTGATAAAGGTTTTAAAATTGGCAGCTGTTTCACATAATTGATGAGAACTGGACCTAAATTTAAAAACTTGTCTCAGAAATTTATTTGCTACATGGTTTTAGGCATGCCTCTCTGTCCCTTGGTTTCCTCCTCTGTAAAACAAGGGGGTTAGACTGTGGATATCATTGAGGAGGCGCTGTTGCCCTCTGGAGCTAGATAAAGAAAGCGCAATGCCCTCTACAAACAGAAGCATCTGGAAGACCTTCCCATCTATGGCTTGGGTGTCTTCCTTTTGGACAATGAACAGAATGCTTAGTTGTACTCTTGACCTTGAAGGTCCCTTCCAACTTTAAATCCATAAGTCTGTAATTTTTAACACTGTAGTATGTATAGGTAAATGCCCTTTCTTGGAAAATTTAATTACATGCTTTTTATTTTGGTTTGACTGCACCAAAAAATGGGCCTGTGTTAATATATTGGACTTTCTTATTATAGTTTTCTGGCTATGAACCAGGAAGCAAAAGCAGGCTGCTTTTGTGCCCTCTGTGACCACAACCTACTTCTTCATGTTCCCTGATCCTCTGGCTCAGCCTATTAGGTATCAATTACTTCAATTATGACTCCCAAGTCACTTCTCTTTAGGTGTTGACAGTTGTATCTACCCACCATTTGCTTCAAAAGCCACTAGGTAGGCCCTCTTTCTAGAAGCTAAAATTCTTGATTCCACAGTACTGATAATGAGACATGATATCCATTACAGAGAGGTGATGGATTTGGGGGTATGGAATGAGGGATGTGTATGTAGCCATTGAGGGAATAATTGTTTTGCTTGATTATGAATATTTTTTCTAAATTGGATGGAGAGTGGGAGAAAATATATTTCTATTAATTTTTTAAA